TCTTATACCTTTTTATAAACATTATTATAAGTTTAGAGTTAGCATGTTCTCTGTTTTTGTAATTCCGCTTCCAAATTATACTATACTTTTCTTGATAGTTATTTTTAACATGCAATGATATATTTTGGAAAATTCTCAGGATTATTAGTTATGCTATTTCTTTATATTTTCATTGGCATTGGTTAACACTCATCTAAAACATAATTTATTCTACAGGTTAAACTATTTGAATGTTATTATCACTATTAATTAGAAAAATATGTTAAGTTCTATTTGACTGAAATAAAGAGATTGTGCTATGCGGGGTGTTAATGGGACTTAGATTTCTATATAGTTTGTCCATTTTAAGAATTGAGAGATTTGTTAAATTTGGAAAGAATTGTAAAGAATTTTGTATATTGTGAAAATCTATAAAAATAAAGTATTATAATGATTTAAGAATCCAAAGGATATATGAAGTATTCTCAAAATCTTGTTATGTGAGTTAAAATGTTAAGAATATAACTCTCAATAACACTTACTGTTTAATTGATTTGTAAAATTATTAAAATCTAAATTTTTTTAATAACAAAAGATTTTGTATAGAATTACAAAACCATCATACAATAACACTAAACTTTAGTGAAAATATAAGAATCACTAAACTAATAATACAAGACTTGAAAATTATAAGAATCTTTATAAATTTAATTTCCACTAAAATTATCTGCGGAATCAAGTTATAGCACAACATGTTTTAAACTTCTAAAACAAAAAAGAATGTTTTAAACTTCTAATCTAACCCAAATAATTGAATACTTGGCAGAATAAAAAGTATAAATGCAATGAAGAGGCCACCTGCCACGATGGATCCATCAATGGACAACGCAATCTCACTTGTTATCGTCTATGGTTAGAGTAAAAGTCTCTTCAACGTCTCTTTCTTTTTCTTGTTTTTCTTTGTTAAAAATGTTTCTTTTTTTTTTTGGTAAAAATGTCTTTTTCTTACAATCTATTGAATTATATTAGCTATAAAACTACAGTACTTTTTAATCAGAAACAACTAAACTAGAAAGGAGAGATGACCTTAAAACAATATTATCACGTTTTGGAGAAAAACGCCAACATAGACCAATGGATGAACCGAAGGTTAACCCAAATATCTATGCAACGTTCTATACAGTATTCTTTCTCAAAAAAGTGAGTACACTAGTACGTGATGTCAATTAACCTTTTTATTTTCCGTTGATGAACGAATATACTGTATGTTATCTCCTCCTGTAAAAAAACATCCAGAACTTTCAAAAAGATATATATTTTACAGTGCCAGTCCAATGTATTTTAACATGCATTTTTCAATTTTTTTTTATCTAACAACATAGATATATATATATATATATATTTAGAATATAAGTTAATAAAAAATTCATAACTGTTTTAATTTTTTAAAGCAAAATTTGTTAACTTCAAAAACATATTTACAATCGATTTTTAATTTGTTTAACCTAGAAAAAAAAATCGACTAAAAACATAAAAACAAGTCATTTACAACTATGACTTTCTCATACTTTAAATTTCATTAACAAGAAATGAAAATAATTTCATAAAATTAACTATATAGCAATATTTTAAATATTATCATAAACATCAGAGTACATTCATCATAATTATAAGAAAATCATTTGTTAATGCGAATCTCTTATCTAAAAATTGTCTAGACACTTACTCAATAATGTTAAATTTTCTTACAAGTATCAGTATTAAAATTATACTTATGTTTACATACAAACACTAACAAAAAAAAAAACACTAACAAAAATTCTTAATATAAAAAATTACATATACCCTTTTAAAATTGTATGTCCTAAGCGACCGCTTGAGTCACTTGTTTTCTGCGCCAGCCCTGATATTTTAGAATATTGGTAAAACTAAAAAAAATATTATAGTTTTTTTTTATAAATTCTGATTAACTATTTTCTACAACTACACACAGTTTATGCTTGATATTGATTGTAAAATATATTGATATTAATTAGAAATAATTTTATTTCTCTCAAATATTATTTATCAAAGAAATCTAATTATTTAAAATAGAGATAAGATTTTTAATTATCTTATTCTTCATCAAACCAGAGAATTTATGAATAACTGATTATTGCACAGTTTTCTAAATATTCAAAAATACAGTTTGTAACATTTAATCTTTCCCCCCAGGAAATAAGCATCTCAGTTAGTGGGTGAATTTTGTTTGTTATACATTTTATGTGATGATTTTTTTTCTTCACGTAGCATGATTATCTTTTTTAAGATGATTTTTTCCAGTTACGGACTTGGAATTCAAATTCTTCATTGGGTGAAAATATTCTACAATTCCTTACAGGTTATCAGTTATTTTATTTAAATTAAACGAAAACTATAGTAGTTATTCAATGTTTTGTTACGAAATAATATGTATACTTCATTAAGGAAAAAAAGCTATGGATGTGCCTGAAGCCTCTCTAGTCCAGAAGTTACATTGACAAATATCTTTCCTGTTCTTGTTTTTGTTGTTTAACTCGACAAACCATAATATTAATATCTAATACAAAGAGTTTGTTAATCCATGCATGTCTTTAGCCACATGAGTATTATCCAAGATAAGTTGATACATACAAAAGGATATCTATTATTATAAAGAAGAGTTTTCACTTTTTTAAAGCTGCCATGTCACTAATTAGTGTCATGAGAAGTTGACATGTGTCGTGTTCACATTAAAAAAAAATCTATTTTGTTTTGTTTTAAATGAGTTTTTATATATTCCAAAACCTAGAGAAATTTGATCCGTTAGACATCTTCTTTTTGTAAACGTGAAACCGACAACCAATTCTAGAGCTATTAATCCTCTAAGAAATCTAATTAATTAGTTCTACCATCAATAGAGTATCTGAACTTTTCAAGGAGAAAAGTTTTGTGAATAAGTCTTTGCGTCTAAGTCGGTTCATGCTGTGTTGTTTCGTTTCTGGTTCATCTTCTCACAAACGTTACAAGTTTCAGTGGTTCAACATCATCATTAAGAAAATCTTAAATGTTTCGATCCACTTTAACCATAATCACTCATTCAATAGTGTTTATCCCTCATCTAAGCGGTGGATCCCCACCTATAAAAAGGTATCCCTTGAGAATCATCTTCACAATTCCAATAGCATTCGAAATCTCTTTTTCAGTTTAATGGTATCCTCTGTTCTACTTGCTGATTTGAAGTCTGGACGCTCTTGCACCGTCAGTTGCTCAGATTCTGGGATGCTAGAAACCAGCAGAGAGTTGATGGGTGTGGATATGCTCTTCCTCGACCTCAGGTATTTTGTTCTTAAAACTCATGAACATCTTAGTTTTGAAGTATAATCTCAATATTTTGTATCCTAATTTTTTATTTTAAACTCTCTCGGAGAGTATCTCAGTTCAGTTTATTGATCATGCCTCCTGCAGCTCATGTTAATATAATAGTATCGAATTGAAGGCTGAAGAGGACTGTTTCCATGGGTATGGTTTGCTATTGTTTGTCTTTTTTTTTTTTATTAATTGACAAGAGAATAGTTGACTTTTCGAATTGATTCTTTTAATGATCGCATTCAAAAAGACTTACAGAAGCCACTGATTGTTATAGACAAGGGTGAAACCGGATATCACGAGCTGGACTGCTAATGAATATATTGTAAGTACAAGAAAAAGAAAAAAAAACATTGTCCTTGCGTATTGGTTTCAAATCATTAAATTGCTTAATTGTTTGATATAGGTGTGGTTATCATGTTCTAACTTCAAGAAATACATACACATTCCATTTCCACGATGGAAATTAGGTTGGAAATGGGTAAAGAAAGAACTGTACGGAGTACGGTCGGCGCACAAACAACCAACAAGGTGAACTAAAAATATTCGGTACCATGAAGCTATCTTCTTATATCTGAGATAATTTATGACGATATGTTTTAATGTTGTTTGATAGGTTTTTGTTCAAATTAGAATGGAAATTTAGCATTTCGTTGTAAGAAAGATTCAATTGTTGCAGGTTACATCTCTGGGACACCTTATAGCCAGCAGATTGATAATTACTGCAAAGGCAGTATCCTGAACTCATGGATTCAAGATCCTGGAAATGCTGCTATCTCCTTCCAAATCAGTGTTAGCGCTTATTAAACCACAAACAAAACCCTCTGTGTGGCAAGAAACTTCACTCTCAAGGGCCCTGGTCCAATCTACACTGACCATATCTTAGTTGAAGAAGCTGCCTCACCGCCAACCTTGCGCTTTGGAGCATGCACAGATTTGCAATTAGTATTTTATTTATTAATTCAATAAAAATATTAACATTTAGTCATAAATTAAATTATTTTAACAAAACAATTAAACAACCAAAAAATGAAAGCTCATGGATTCATTTATTATAATATATATTAGCCAACTATTTTTTTCTAATTGAAACTATACTCACACATAAAAAAAAATTACACATGTATTATATAATATTCAATTTTTCAGATTAAATGTTTTTCTAAAATTGTCACACTAATTAAGAAAAATGTTAAATGCTCCGGTTACCTTTATTTAGTTATTTAAAATTAATTATTTTTCTACTATTATATAAAAATTAAACAAAATTAACACATATTAATTCGAAAGTATACAACCTCATGCACACCACATCTAATTTTCATGCGGTTGACATTCGGTAATTATTTCCTCGCACATATCATTTTTTCAAGCAAGCAACATTATCACATATTATTTTCAAATCAAATCGAACATACTATCAATAAGAAGAACTAAAACATATTTTCTCCATGCCCAAAGATCTTAACATCCATAAACATTACTATACATTTTTTTCAAATCTTAATATAAAACACACGCAAATAAAATATATGATAATATAGACCTATACGATAATATAGACCTATACATCATACGTAAATCATATCCCGCCCGTAGGGCGGGCCGACACTAGTAGCTCAATAAGCTATTGCATCAGCACATTAGTTAGCTTGTCATCCTCCAAAGGAATAAAAGCAGGCTGAAACCATCTTCTTGTAGCAACTACCAAGCACTTCCATTGTGAATGTATGTAGTTTTGGCCCTTCTTGAGGATTCTCTAAAACCTTGATTAGCATTTCAGAATCACTTTCATTATCAAAATTGCTAATCCACATTAATATTGCCGCAGCCTCTGGTTCTAGATGAGACCTAAACATAGGATTCTTTGGCACGTCCCACTTCACCAATCCTTTCTCATCTCTCAAACCCCATCCTACACCACACAACTCTAAATCTAGTTTCTGCAAAACAATAAATACATGTCGAAACTCTATACTTCACCTCTCCTTTCTCATTTCACTAGTGTCTGGTTTGTTGGTCGGGAAGTTATAAGTAGGTAGTGATGGGTAATGGGTCGCAACTCGCAAGACATATACGGGCCTTCTTAGTTAAGTCACTGCCACAATAAATACATTTCTCTTGGGGTCCATCATTGGTGTACGTATGTATGTGCATGATATAGATGAATGACCAAACAACAGTAACGGTAAAAGTAAAAAAATAACACACTAGACTTCAAAATCTATTGTTCAATTCAACATTGTCAATTATTACAAGTACTTACAAACCTTTTCGATGAAGACAAAAAGATAGAAATAAGTGAATATGATATAATAATACAAAGTTTTTTATAATCACATGCACACTTGATCAAGTAATGTAGCAATCCCCATTTGAAAGGGCAAAGATGTGACTGCTCTTGAGGAGTCTGGGAATCTAAGTCAGTGTGTGTCGATGCCTCTGCCATACAACACAGTCCACTTATCAAGATAATAAGCAGAACGATCCCTGACAAGAGGCAAATGACATTATCACACATACTATGTGAGGATACACAAGCATTAAACGAATGTGTATGGAAGAAAACTGCTTAAGACTTGAGAAAAGTGATGAACTTACCACTAAGACTTAAATTTGCAGAGTTCATCATTCAGAGGTAAGGGTGGAGGTCTCGGCCAAAAACCTTTTGTTGAGTTTGGTATGAAGTGTACTAATAAAGGATCAGAAACATAGAGAACTGCATAGTTAGTACCAGATTGCTCCCTATAATGTGAGCATAAGCTTCTATAAGCCCTGAAAGCAACAAGTTTTCCATCCTTTCATCCTCTGGTGCAGAAACATATGGGAATGACAATGAGAACTTGGATGTTAACTATACAAAATTCTGACACAAGAAGGACAAGTGAGTGCTAAATAGCGTGGAGGGAAGGGAGGCTTAAAAGAAATATCAATATGTGTTCCGCTAGCTAGCTTACATTCAAAATGTGTAGATCCGAGTTCTGATTTGAAGGATGGAAAAAATTAAATACTTAGGAGGAGCAGTGAAAATGACAGACATCCAAAATGCAACGAAAGTTTATTTTTTCCGAGAGAGAGAGAGATGCTTAACCGTAATATGGATGAAAACGTATAAATACGACGGGCTATTACGGTTGATTTTTATAGCTTTTCCCGATTGATTTTCAAACACACAAACTATTGAAGAACAAACTAAACAAGGTGACAGAGAGACTCATCTCCGATTCTCAAATCTGGTCTGTTTTTGCACAAAACCGCAATTAGACGACGTCGTTTCGTTTATTAATTACCCGCTAAACCGAATCTGGTTTATCTAGGACAACCGGTCTTAATTTAACGGTCGGATTGATTTTTCCCACAGAAGGATTAAACGACAACGCGTAGTAAATAAAAGCCCAACCAAATAAATATGTAATTCTTTATAGAAAAAAAGCCCACGAGATAAAAAAGGATGGTTAATTTAATCAGGTGATCTTCTAATTCTTAGTTTAATCAATTAATAATAGATCATTAGCTGACCTCATTGTAGTTAGCTGAGTAATTAATGACAAACAGCAGAGAGTAGAGACAAATAAAGAAGGCAGAAGGATCTAGAAGAATCATCCTCCTCGTCCCTCCCTCCCTCCCTCTTTCGTAAGTAGTCTATACATAAAAACCCTAAACCCCATACTTATCGCTCTCTATATTTCTCGTTTGTTTGTTGCTGAAGAGGACTGTCGAAGGTTTTTAAGAAAGAAAGGTGCTTACTTTCTTTCTTGCATTTTGTTGTTTCATTGTTTAGGTTGTTCGTATTTATAATCTCCTGGGACTTGTGTTGCTTTAGTGTAAGAGACTGATTCACGATTTGAAAAAAAAACACATCTTTCGTTTGTCTTCCTTTCCGAGGTTGTTTCTCCCTTCGTTGAATCCGGACATTGTTTGGATTTATCTTTTAGTTTGAGAAATGGGTTTTTATCTGACTGACTCTAGGGTTTTGATTCTCTACCTTTGTTTTAGTAACTGATTCATGTAAGTGTTGTCTTACAACGAGATTTGCTGCTTTGTTTTGTTAAAAAGCTGACTTTCTTTGTTTTTGGCTATTGAACAGTATGGAAGACGAAACGACGGCGTATTGGTGCCACACGTGCTCTCAAACAGTGACTCCAGTAAGGGAAGCTGACATCAAATGCCCCTTTTGTCAAAGCGGTTTCCTTGAAGAGATGCAGCAGGAGCAGGAGGAACAACAACAACGACGATACACCAATGTTTGGAGACCAGACATTCCTGTCTGGGCTTCCTTGTTGATGGAAATGACGAACAACTCCTCCGCAAGGAACCAGACTGTTGAGAGTCCTGAGAATGTAACTGACCACCGTGGAGGAGGAGGAGGAGACTATATGGAATCTCAGCTTCAAGAGATGCTTAGGAGAAGAGGAAGACGTCCTGTTTCCGTTGCCCAGTTGCTTCAAGGAACACGTGCTGGTTTAACACTTGCACCTGCTGCTCAGACTAACAACGCAGATCCTGATCATGATGATGCTGATAGAGAAAGAGGACGCGTGATCGTCACCAATCCCTATAATCAGATTGTCGCTGTCCCAAGCTCTGCTGTTTCTGACTCTCTGCCTCCTCTTGTTCCTGGTTCTCTCAGCGAGTACTTCATCGGTCCTGAATTCGAAACGTTTCTCGAGAGTTTAACTGAGACTGATCCCAGCAGGTATGGAACACCTCCTGCTCGGAGAGATACTGTTGAGGCTTTGGCTAGTGTCAAAATCCAAGGGGAGGGGCTGCAGTGTTCTGTGTGTTTAGATGATTTTGAGGTTGGAACTTTGGGGAAACAGATGCCTTGTAAGCACAGCTTTCATCCTCACTGCTTGCTTCCATGGCTTGAGCTTCATAGCTCCTGTCCGGTTTGTAGGTGTCAGCTACCAACTGCGGAGGAGGATGAGACAAAAACAAATGGCAGCAATGGAGGCGGTGGTGGGTCTGCTTCTACAAGCAGTAACCAGCGATCTGAGAACAGCGACCCGGAGGAGGATCCCATGGCTGCTTAGCAGCACCTGGTTCTCAAGATAGGAGCAGCAATCTATAGGCAGCAACAGAGACCACCAGGGTTCAACCTTAAGATGTTGTTGTCTGTGCATAAGGTTTTAGGATTTGGTTGAATGCTAGTTATACCCTTTGGAAAACAAAACAACAATCTATCATTTTGCGTAGTTATATGGTTTTGAATACCTTTTTTTTGGAGAATTTGGCAAGTCGCTTGAGGTTTTCCTGTTTAGTTCAGTCTTTGTTTGATGAAATTGGTAGTTAATGTTCATGGGCGAAATAACAAAACGTCTCGGCTTAGGAAGAATATTGTAATTAGTGATCATCAGTAGACATATACTAACAACAAAATTAATCACCCTTACTTGAAGAAAACGGTTTTGTTAATTGTTTAAAACATGTCTTTCTCCAGGAAAATAGTACTACTATAAAGTTGTTCCTTGTTAATTCTTTGTGTATGGATGACTAAAAATTTTTCTGTAAAAATTCTATAGAATAGTTAAATTTTAAAGGAGACAATCTTTGTATTAATCTCAAAATATGAAGCTGAGTTAAGAATGATTGCCATTCTATTTTTATTAATTCCAATAGAAACCACCAAAATTATGATTTTTTAGACTGCTCTATTTATAATAACATAGACAAATAGATTATCACTCCATATAATTTTCTGCGGATTAATGATTAGATCAGATTAATGTTTAAGAACTTATCTTTAATCTCGACTTGATTATAACTGATTTTTTGGGTGTTGTGCAACCAGATGTTGAGAGGTATAGTTTAAAGTCAAGGATTTGAAGAAGCGGATGTGATTAAACCAAGCTGGACGACCCCTCAATAAGAGATGATTGTGGTGCATTCGTTTAATTTGGGTTTAGTTATTTTGGATCAGGTTTTTGGATATTTTAATTTTGAAAGAAAAAAATTAAAATTTTAGTTTCTCATGTTTCTTGTATTTAAAAATATAACTTTCACTTAACTGATGTTTTTAGTAAATTAAAATATTAATAGATTTGGAGATAATATTTCAAAAGTAAAAAAACACTAATTTAGTTATTGTTTTTAAATTATAGATGTAATTTTGTTAATGTATGAAACAAAAAGCCTGGACTGATTTGAAGTGAGTATCAAATCATTTTATCTTTAATTATATGTCTATTATATAATTTTAGAATATGCGTAACATTAATATATAGATATCCTTTATTAACTAAAACACAAATCACTCGAACAATTAAGTTATGACTAGTTTTTGATCCGCGCGCCCGCGCGGGTGTTTGTTTTACGTAATAATATATTTTCAACTTTTGAAAATGCTATGAATTCAATTGTCTATGCCTTTTATGTTATAGATTCATTGACATTAGTGTGTCTTGTTCAGTGTGATTAGTGTTGACTTATAAACTATGAAATTGTGTTTTATTTAGTTTATCTCGTAAAATAAACGGTAAAATGTTAGTGCTTTCAAATTGTTATTGAGATTTTTTAATAAAAATATTATTTAGAGAAAAAATAATAATATGAAACCAAGTTTAAAACAACACTAAAAATGAGAAGATATTTAGTTGAATTTATTAATTTAGATTATTTGGTTATGAAGTTATAATTAAAATGAACCAAAACTTAACTACTATGTCCAAACTTTATTTTCATCAAAATATATATGAATCTTGTTTTAATTATATTTATTGGACCAAGCCCATAAAATATTAAATGTAGGTTTTGTTTAAAAACAAAAAAAAAAACAAAACACCAGTGTTTTAATTCTAGTGGTGTATAATTGTAATTTTTGAAGAAAATTAAGGGATATTTCCTAGTTTTATTCCCCTTTTAATAGTTTAAATTTATTTCTTTTGCAAACTATAGTTTCTTCTTAAATTCTTTATTTATTAAGAAAAAATTTTAAATAATGTATTTTCATTAAAACTGTTTACTACTCCTTCCGTTTTTAATTGTAAATAGTATTAGGAAATTTTATTTGTTTCAAAATATAGATAATTTTCTTACATCTATGTAACTTATACCTTTACTGGATATAATGTGACCAATCAAATAATGTATGTTTTTTATAATTAGTACAATTTATTAATTAAATACTATGTTTTAAAAAATAACAGCTTTCTAACTCTTAATGTTTTTATTTTAAACTATTGTTAAATGGAAAATAAGTAATATTGTATGTAAACGTTTAGAAAAATCTCAGTGACAAAAACAAAACTTAGTTTATCGTATTTTGTTAATTTTTAGTAAAACCTTTAAAACCCTGAAAATAATAGAAAATAACAAAACATGCCACTTGGGTTTGAATTCAAGTTAGCACTTTTTCTTATCTCTTCCAATAAAACATGAACACTATTATCATACAAATTTAGTAAATAAGTATTTTTTTGTATTTAATTCTATTAGCTCGAAACTTATGAATTTGTATGATCATAAACATGTTGTCCTTTAAGAATAAATAATCTCCGGAATAATTTATATATATTAAACTATTCACACAATACGATTGTTATTTCTGTAACTACATTATTACTTTTTAATATTCATACCTCTCACAATTTTACTAAAAATGTTAGCGCTAAATAGACACAAAAAATAATTGAAAATATCAAATGTTTATTAGAAATTGAAATTCTTTTCAATTACTTATAAAAATGTTTACCCGCCCGTAAGTCGGGTTTTACCTTAGTTATTATATATTCTTTTTAAAAATCAGTTTGGTTCAATATATATATATATATATATATATATATATATATAACATATTTTAAAGAGGGCCAATATATTTTAACGATTATAGATAAATAAGAAACATATTAACTACAAAGTGGGATTTCACGTGTTGGTTGAAAAAGGTTCTGTATAATAGGAAAAAAAAATCAAAGATCCAATTAGCAAGTAGATATTATTGTTATTAATGTGATAACTTTAATTTAGGAGCTTGTTATGTTAAATTAATAAGATGCTCAATGATTTGAGGAATATTTGGTGGATCTACGAACAGTTTCAAGGGCTTTGAATATACAAAATCGATAGGAAATTTGTAGTTTTTATTTTATTATATGTCCAACTAAATCGATAGAAAATATGTATTCACTGATTTTTCTGTTTAAAAAAATTAAATTTCGAAATCAAATTCCCAATTACTATATATTAAAATGAATGTTTCAAAATTGTAATATTTCATGTTACACATTTAATCAAATGTACTGATGTTCTCGCCAATTACACTGATATAGTTATTTGGTTTATAAATATATATAAAAAATATGAAAAGTTACGAAAGATGAAACACATTTGATTGGTTTAAGAAATACAAATTGTATTGTGTAAGCAAATCTTAATGGGCTTGTTATTCACTCTTTTAACATAACGTGGAAGCCTAATAATAGTTAGTAAATGTGTAGATTAAATGTCAGCGGCATTCTAAGGTAATTATTTAGGAAAAATCAGGGTTAAGTATCAAATGTACTTCAGTTTTAATAGTTTAGATATGTGGTATGTGTTATGCAGTTTAAAGAAAAATTAAATGTAAAATAAATTAAATCCAAAAAGAAGAAAAAATAGTTTTAAAATGATTATTGTTTTCTTATCCTTTATACACTAAATCACAAGTCACTCGACTAATTGCATAGTGGCATATGAATAATCAGAAATAAAAATTAAAAGAAATAATGGAAAAATCGAGCAGTTAATCAAATTTAAAAAAGCAAAAGTAAAATAAAAACTTTGACTAACAAAGAAAATTTTACGATTTAACTGCAGAAAAAAAAATCCTAGATTCTCTCGAGTCAGTACTATCACGTTCAAAGTAAACCCATAGTAACTGTTTTATCTTCTATAATTTTAGGCAACTAATTTGCTTATATTCTTTGTGTCTTTTCTGAGTTTTCGCCTTCTTTTATTCATAGTTTCCCTCTATTTCATCACTTTTTGAAAGAGCTTTTAAATGGAGCAATATAGTAGAAGATCATAGAATTGTCAACAACAATTGAGGTTATAATAAGTATATACGAAATAAGGGATTTTTCAAGGTAAATAATAATACTTTCCCTTTCTTTGAAAAAGAAAAGAAATATTGAATATTTTACAAATTTGTTTCGTCAATGGCTTATTCCTAAGAAGACACGAAAACATTACGTGAGAATTTTGATATTTTTCATTCAGTTAACCATGGTAGAGAATTATGTTTTCTGTTTCTTTAATTATTATGTTTATTACAGGACAAAACAAGGCTGTGTCATTTTTTCATTATTGAAAATTTGTGAAGACGACGACACATTGGTAACGAGGTCAAGGTCAATTGTTCATAGCGATATTAGTTAATCATAACAGTAAGTTGTTACAATTTATTGTATACATTATCCAATATCCATAATTTACTCACAATGCTATAAATTCAACTTCATCTCTACGTTGGCAATTAGTGTAATTTCCTAAATTCTTTACAATGCATCCACTGACTCTCCTTTACCTTATCAACATTCTGGAGTTTACAATTCTAGATGGACACAGTCTCTGGTTAAACAGTTACACAACAATAATTTTAGTGAGAAATTCCTTTCTGATCTATGGTAAAACTCATCGAAAGTTGGCAGTCAGGTTAGTAACTGTTTGCTTAATGCTAGTTTTGCTCATCAACCTTTGCGTTATGCTAATTTGTTTCACCAAACCTTTTTTCTTCTAGGCTAATAAGTGATTTTTAATCTTTTACTCTTCTGAATATTAGCAAAATCTACGTACGTATTGTCATGTCAATTTCATTTTAAAATATAATCAATTAATTCTCAGTTTTCTGAAACATGTTTATTTTGTGTGGTCGTGACAATTCAAAGAATGAAAGTACGACGCTAAATCACACTTACAAGTTACAAATTGGTCTTCCTTTTTCTCTATATGCTTTCATAACCTTATAGAAATGGAGTGATATTAGAGTCGTTTACTTTTAGATCAATATACACTTTTGATTTTATTTTCCTTATGCAGTGTTACCAAATTTTGTTGATTTTCTCAAAAATATTTTTTTATGGAGTAAATATATAGCATTGAAAATGAAAAAGAGAAGGAAAAATAACATAATAAAAGAACGTAAAGATTACAAGAGATACTGGCATCAATTTTCTACAAAGTAAGGTTGGTATTTTAGTTGCCAGAGATTAATTTCTGGAATCCATTTCTACAAAGTAAGGTTGGTATTTTAGTTGCTAGAGATTGATTTCTCTTACTCTCATATCCAACTTTACCTTTTTTTTTGGCTTTTGGACAAGAAATCACTTTTTTACCTACAATGTGGGTCTATAACGGACTGCTGTAAGATATAACCATCAATTATTTTTTCCTTTTTAAGTTTACCACTAATAATTTTCAAAATTTTAAATTTGACTGTAACTTATCTATATTATATAATTTTAAATATATCAACATATAATAATACCTGTGCATTAGTTCAGGATATAATACTAATTTAAAATAAAATAAGAGATGTATACTATAAATATAATGTAAGTATACATATGTTCGATTATTTTCGTATATCTATTCGGATTTGGATATTATCCGTTCGGATTCAGATATCCAATTTCTCCTAATTCAATACCTGTTCGGATATTTTACTATTTCGGTTCGAATTTTGGTCTAGTGTTTCTTGGGTCGAGTTCGGATGCGATTTCAAGTATAGTTTAAAGTGCCCATGCCTAGTAGATACTCTACCTAAAGATGTTGTTAGCAAAATTCTAAAACGGCCACCCAGTAAAACTATGTAATCTTTTCGAAAAAGCCCACGAGCTAAAGAAAGGATACTTAATTAGTCAGCTGATATCTATTTTAGTTAATTAACTAGGATAAGACCTGCGCCTTGCGCAGGGTGAATATATGTAATTAAAATATAAAATTTTAATATTCACAAATTTAAAATTTACATATGATTGTTTTTGTATGTATTTGAAATTTTAGAATTTTGTAATTTTTATATAATTATCTATACGTATGATCAAAAACAATTTTAATTAGAAATGTAAATCAAATCTTAGAATTTAATGGATCTGATTTCATATATCTTTTTACTTTTCAGTGTTCGAGTGATGGATATAAATGGAGTGTCACTGGGCTTGATTGGTAGAGTATAGCAAGTTCCCTAATGTTTTTAAAGAAGCAATTGATAAAATATTTGCAATTAAAATATATAAAGTTTCTAAACTAATTTAATATAATTTATTTATTTGTCTAATAATATTAGAAAATTATATTTTTTAAAAATAATTTTCTAAAAAATTATGTTAAATTTAAAATTATTTTTAAAAGCAATATTTTAAGTTTTTCGAATACAAATAAACAATTTAAAATTAATTATTGTCATGA